TTCATTGAATTCATTCCACCTACCATACCTCATTTTACACACTGCATACGGTTGTTGAGTATTAATTTCCTCACCACCTGCCTCAATAAATCACCCTCTATATGAGCTCAAGATTGTATACAAACCTACCATCAAAAAATTCACTCTATTCATTGAGTACCTCTGCCCACAGATTGCCTCTCTGTATTTGTTCACTGTATTCCCTCCACTACCACCTTCAAATTTGGCTTAACCAAATTCTAAATATTCACTCTACGTGTTAGTTTGAATCCACAGAATCAGCAAGGGAAACCATCTGAATCAATAAAGGCAACATCACCAGGAACATTAACAACAAGGCAGCATCGAAGGCAGCATCCAATACAGAGTAGGTTGCATGAATGCCACCGGTCAACCGGTTGGTCAACCGGCCACTAAAAACACTGTAATATGCACTAAGTACACTTCTGTAACATGAAGCACTAAAAACACTGTAATATGCACTAAGTACACTTCTGTAACATGAAGCACTAAAAACACTGTAATATGCACTAAGTACACTTCTGTAACATGAAGCACTAAAAACACTGTAATATGCACTAAGTACACTTCTGTAACATGAAGCACTAAAAACACTGTAATATGCACTAAGTACACTTCTGTAACATGAAGCACTAAAAACACTGTAATATGCACTAAGTACACTTCTGTAACATGAAGCACTAAAAACACTGTAATATGCACTAAGTACACTTCTGTAACATGAAGCACTAAAAACACTGTAATATGCACTAAGTACACTTCTGTAACATGAAGCACTAAAAACACTGTAATATGCACTAAGTACACTTCTGTAACATGAAGCACTAAAAACACTGTAATATGCACTAAGTACACTTCTGTATATTGAACATGTAATTTGAATTATAAGTACATTCATTTGTAATATTAAAACACCAGAACAATACCAAGCCAACTGTAATTCAGCTCTCATATGTAACACATATTCATTCAAATTTAACAGATATTGACAGCATGCCTAGAACTAAAAGAGTGAGACCACAAGTTGGTGAAAGTTTCAACCCTCCACGACGCGAAGAACAGCAGCCTCAAAATCAGCCATATCCTACTGATGATTTTCTCAGTGAAAGTCATGAACTAGCCTTTCCAAACTTCTCCAGCCGACCTGTTGTCACAGGGAGGAGGGTAAATCTGCCACCTCAATATGATGCACTATTAGTTAGTAAACTTGACGCAATGGGATGGCTAAATTTAATTAATTTACCCCAAAAGGTATATCCACGGCTGGTAGCTCTATTTTATGTTCACCTAAGAGCTACTCAGGAAGCAGATGGAAATTTTACTATTTTGTCATATGTGAAAGGAAAGGGTATACAGTTTGATATTCCTGCTTTGGTAAGTATTATTGGAGTTGAGGTAGGTGATGAAAATATCCATTTTCAGACTGAGGCTGAGTTAGTTAATATTGTTGGTAATGCTACTGATGTATATACTACTATTTGTAAGAACAGATTTATTGGGACTAGTTTACAAGCAAGACATTTAAAACCTTATCTTCGGATTCACCACTGGTGGATTGTAGAAAATGTCACTCCAAAAAAAGGACATCATGATGCGGTCCCATATTTTAATGCCTATTTGTTATACTGTTTTGAAGTTGGCCATAAGTTAGATTTATGTTACATAATTATGAAAGAAATGATATTCTTAAATCAAGGTCAATTCACGGGCCGGTCATTACTGTTTGGGGCACTGTTGACAAAAATTTTCAAACATTTTTGGGTTCGCCTTGTAGATGAAATGGAGATGAAAATCCGTTCACCCATTAATCAGTATACTGCGACCCGTGCTGGTGCAGCCTCCAATTTAATGGGAAGTGTTAATGCTCCAGAAGATTCAGAAGATGAAGTCCCACCAGATGATGGTCCAGAAGATCCTCCTGCCAATGTGATGCCATCAACTGAACAACCTCAATATTGGACTGACTTTTTGGCCATGGAAGAACAACGTTATAATCAACGTGTTCAATGGGAACATCAAATGGCTAATCAGGTCAATTCGTTGGGTACTCAGTTTGATACATTTGCCACTGCGCAGAACTCATTAATTCAACAATTTGGTGAGTTCTGTGTGAACATTGAGCATCGCGTGGATACGATTGAGCATCGCGTAAATGACATATACCATCACTACTTCCCTCCTCTACCACCACCACCAGATAATGACTGTTGATGTGTTTCACATTATGTGTTCGTATTGTTTTGTATTTTGTTATTTTCACAACCTTTTGTTGGGTGAATTTGTTAAAGAGTACAAGTTTAATTAAAACCTATGCCCTTATTATGACTTCGTATTGTACTTTTCATTTTAATGCCTACTTGACAAAGACATGATTATGCACATTCTGGAACTGTTACAAAAATGTCATTATTCTATTATGATTTTCTGGTATAAATTATGTTGTAGTAGTCAATGGCCTTTACTTGAAAGATTATTTTAAAGAAGACGAGGTGAATTAAAAAAAAAACCACATGAACTACAGGCAAAAGATCTCTCTATGCAAAAAACATGGCAACAATTACGCATTGAACTTGAAATATGGCAAAAATACATGGCGAGAATTCATAAAACCAATAAAACTAACCAATACAAGGTAGATGCAATATTTTTAAATAATAAAACCAATAGATGAAACCCACTAATACAGAACCTTTCAAGGCAATCTATTAGTTGTTCGAAATAAAATCTGTCGTTGAAGATCTTCGTAGTATGCCCTTTGCATAGAATTTAAAATTGTCATGTCTATTGACATTATTTTAGGATCTTCATTTCGTTGTTCTCTTTCATTCATCATAGATAGGAGTTTTAGTTGTTCCTCCCTATTTTCGACCCTTCTTCGACGCTCTATAGCCTGCTGCTCACGGTGTATCGCCTTTTGTTCATCTCGCTCAATAGTTCTAGCAGAGATACTTGATAACACTTCAACAATTTTGGATTGATTGGCAGTCATTTCATGAAATCTACTGTCGTACGTTGTTTGATTCTTCAACTTCTCTTTCGCTGCCTTAGTACCAATTGGTCGTGCTGATGTATTAAATGGTTGTTCGTACACCGCATTATTTTGGTTGGATTGAAATGCCTCATATTCAGTTGGTGGATTCGAACATGGATCAGCATGTTGCGTGCTTCTTTTGGGTTGTGATCGACATTCATCCCATTTACAACATCGGCGCAAAATATCCCAACATGTGTCAAATGTGAAGTGTTTTTTCTGTATTGCATGATACATCCGCTTCGCTTCAACGACCTAAAAACAAAAATTCCAAACATTTCAATAACAAGTATACATTTACAAAAGAAAATTGATATTTAATAATACAAATAAATTTTATCATATCTGCCTCAGTTGTTCCACTTTGTTGCCTCAGTTGAATTTGTTCAAGAAAACCACAGAATTTATTAATTGCCTTTTGCATGCCAGACTAACGGTGAGACAAAGAAATACGGTTTCGATTTGATTCACCGCTCAATTGTGAATTAAAATAAACAAGTACTCGTTCCCAAAATATAGCCATACTCTAACTATTACTAGTAATGGGATCTTGAGAGACTGCTAACCATGATCTATATAAAGTTTCATCTTCTATAATTGTGAATGCTTTACCACGAGAAACACGAGAAGTTTCTGAAATAAAATGATTATCACTATTCTGCGTGTTCTGCTCTCGTGAAGATTGTGACATAAAATTAATATCAGTGTTCTACTCCAACATTTGTGATTCCTCAAACATTTCAAAATCTTCCATAGTTAGAAAAAATACACTACACTTACTGAAAAATATTAGAATGATATACACTAAAACTGAGAATCAGATAATTGAATCAGATAATAGAAATAAAAATAAAAATTTGAAGGGAAAAAAATTTCTAATGACACAAAACAAACAAAATTCACAACATATAATGTAATGGTATTTTAAAAAAAAATTATTCTGTCAACTTGATATACAAAACAGATATATTTTATAAAGCACATCATCAATGGTAAATTTTCAAAATACCCTGTCCATACTCTGTCCATCCAACGGTAAATTATTATTGTAACGGCTAGTTCTGAAATATGTAAATGAGAGGTAATAATTTCAATAATATTTTGAAGGGAATTTAATTTTATATCACCCTCCAAATTATTCATAATCCACAAAATAAGCTATCTCAAAATAAACCAGTTCAAACCTGTTAAAACCAACCAGTTCAAACCTGTTGAAACTAGTTCAAAATTGTTGCAGGATTGATCAACCCGGTCGACCGGTTGGTCAACCGGCCGGTCAACCGACTGGTTGACCGGTTGATCCCAAGGGTCACGCAGCACATCCGTTTAGGGCATAGGAGTTCAAACCAATCGCTCCACAGTTCAAACCAACCATGCGCAGATTTGATAAATTTGGTTAACCGGTTGGTCCTCCCAACGGTCGCGTACAGTGTTTTGGTGAAATCTTCTCCCTGTTCTCACTCTGATGAAAAATTTGGTAAATTCTCAATTTGATATCGATTTGGTACAACCGTTGGAGCATCAAACAGTAACTTTTTCATCAAAATTTAAATTTGGTGTCAAGTCTGGTGAACCGTTGGAGATAGTCTGAGAGTCCCGGTTTGAGGTGTAGATTTTTTTAATTAAAATAATTAAAAAATTAGAATATCTAATTATATTATTTTTTTTATTTTTTTATACATCCTTTTATAAATAAAAAAATAAAAAAACTAAAATAGTCTCTCCAAAACAACCCGTAACTACTATAACATAACATTGGTGAACAAGTCAGTTGGCTTGTTTTGACCAACCACCCACACCCACCCACGAGGTCACGAGTTGTCCTCTCCTCTCCTCTCCACCGATTTCTAAGGGTCCTAACCAACAGTCTACACACACTGATCCATTCTCTCAGTATCTTCATAATTTTCCTCTCCATGATTTTTTTATTAATTTCCTTATGCCTTTATAAACCCAAACCGAACTCTTCACTCTTTCAAGCCTCTCCGATTCTCTTAAAAATACCAATACACAACTTCTCTTTTCTCATACAACATGTCTAAGTCCACCATTCTTCTCATCCTCCTCTTCGCTTCCCTATCCTACGCCATCGACAATCACATTCAAAAATCATCACCACGAAGCGACGATGAGGTGATGGGTTTATACGAAGAGTGGCTCGCGAAACATGGGAAGGCGTACAACTCCCTCGGAGAGAAAGATAAGAGGTTTGAGATTTTTAAGGATAATTTGAAATTTGTTGATGAACATAATTCTGAGAACCGGACGTACAAGGTCGGGATGAACCGATTTGCTGATCTTACCAATGAAGAGTACCGGTCCAGGTACTTGGGTACGAGGACCGATGCTAAGAGGAGGTTTGTGAAGTCCAAGGTGGGGTTGAGCCGGAGATATGTCGTCCGAGGCGACGAGGAGTTGCCGGAGTCTGTTGATTGGAGGACCAAAGGTGCTGTTGCTCCGATTAAAGATCAAGGGGATTGTGGTAATTAATCTTATTTCATCTTTATCTCTCTCTCAATCATTTTTTTTTCTCCTCACAACCATTTATTTAGTTATAAAAAAATTCACAAATCATTCAAAATATAATTTTTTTTATTTAATAAAATAGCCAAAAAAATTAATTATAATAATTAAGTTTTCAAATAAAACCATAGTTATTTGTCAAAACGAAAAGAATTCTCATTGGACAGCCATTTTTCTTGATAATATCAATTGTTCATTTTATAATATTATGTGTGAATTTATTCAATAATAAAAAAATTAGATAAATCTGAATATTATAATTACATAATTGATCATATTTGATTATTAAAAAATAAACATTAAATATAATCTTAATTTTTTTTAATAAAATAGTATTTTCAATTTTTGTTGATGATGCTCATAACAACAGACTGCTGGAAGAATGGCAGGTTTGGACTTGCCGTTGAAGCATATGACGGATGGAGCCAAAAACTAAGACGAACTTATATCCACCGACCAGTCAAATTAAAAATAAAAACATAGAAAATTAATTCCATTTTCTTTACCTCCTATATAAATTTACACAACAAATATTATGTATGTATGTGTTGAATTTATGAATGAAAAATTTCCAATCAATATAAGTATTTTAAAAGTAATTTTAGATAAGTGATAAATTTTATAAGTATTAATAATTAAAATTATAATATTTTTTATGAATTTATAATTATTTTATAAAATGTTATTAAATTATTTAGGACCACCAATCATTTTCCTACTTTACTCAATGTTGAATTTATGAATGAAAAATTTCCAATCAATATAAGTATTTTAAAAGTAATTTTAGATAAGTGATAAATTTTATAAGTATTAATAATTAAAATTATAATATTTTTCATGAATTTATAATTATTTTATAAAATGCTATTAAATTATAATTTATCCATTTGTGAAAGAAATAAATAAATTTTACTAGTTGATATAAGCCCTAAAAAATAGTGCTGTGATGTGATGCGTCATCATTATTTTACTCAAAAAAATTTTATTTTATTTTGGTGGACGAACAGGGAGTTGCTGGGCGTTCTCGACGGTGGCGGCGGTGGAAGGCCTAAACAAGATAAAAACCGGCGAACTGATCGAGCTTTCTGAGCAAGAACTCGTCGACTGTGATCGAGCATACGACGCTGGTTGCCATGGCGGCCTCATGGATTACGCTTTCCAATTCATCATCGAAAATGGCGGCATCGACTCCGAATCCGACTACCCTTACCTCGGCGTCGATGGCCAGTGCGATCCCACTAGGGTTAGTTACTTGTTTATTTTTGATTTTGATTATCTATCAGTTTCAAAATTTGATTTTGATTTGTGTGTTTTTTGAATTTTTGTAGAAGAATGCCAAGGTTGTGAGCATCGATGACTACGAAGATGTACCGCCCTTCGACGAGTTGGCTTTGAAGAATGCTGTAGCTCACCAACCTGTTAGCGTTGCCATTGAAGCCTCCGGCAGAGCTTTGCAACTCTATCTTTCGGTAATTCAATTTCCTCTTTTTTTTATTTCTTTCTTTGTTGGCAATTTCCAAAATTAGGGTTTTTTAAGGATGTGTTTGGATCTTGGATTTGTGGAGGGAAAAGTTAAGGGAAGGAAAGGAGAATTGAAGTAGAAGCTGAATTGGGGGCATTAGTTTTGATAGTGAAACTCTGGAAATCATAGCCTTTGGATATTACTAGTTTCATTTAATTTAAGGTTAATTTAGTATAAAGTATAAACCTTTCAAGAATATTCAAGATGTTGCTAAGTGGGTGAATGCTCAATTTTTCATGCCTCATATAGGAGAATTTTGCGAGTCTTTAGTTTGTTGTCAACTGCTAGCATTCAAGTACTGTTACTCAAACCCATGTTATTGGTCTACTAGAATTTTTATTTTTACAGTTTGCCTGTTATAAAGCTGTAAATTTTGAAGCTGTTTCCTGGAGGAATGAAACTCAATCTGACCATTGAGAAACCTTTTCACTTGTTCTTCATCTGCTTTCTTTAAAAAAAAAAAACCAACTTCCAAATTGATAATGGTGATTGTTTGATTGATTAATGATAGCTCATAATGAAGCTGCGGCTACCTATTGTCTAAGTCATTGTGGTTTTTGGACAAGTCCGTAGAAACAAATTTATAAAATATATTTCCTTTCATTGTTGTTTCTTTCTCTTAAAATCTCCTCAGGGCATATTCACTGGTGAATGCGGGATGGCATTGGACCATGGTGTTGCCGTGGTTGGTTATGGCAAAGAAAATGGTGTGGATTACTGGATTGTGAGGAATTCTTGGGGAGCTAGCTGGGGTGAGAGTGGATACATCAGGATGGAACGTAATGTGGTTGCGACCTACACTGGCAAGTGCGGAATTGCAATGCAGGCTTCTTACCCCATCAAGGATACCGAAATACCATGGACTTATGGAGATGCAGAAACAGGGATAAGCAGCTCTTGAAGTGTCTTTGAAATTGGCTGCAGAAAGTGAAGGGAGGGAAGGTGCAAGCGATGATCGTACGCTTTGTCGCTCCCTCTTGATTGATTAGTATATGCCCTAATTTCCTTCTAGGTTTTAAGTCACCAATGGATGAATGGGCTTTTGATTTTTATTTGCATGATCATTATTGTACATATATTTTCATTCATCGGAACTGTGCTTGGAAACAAACTGATATTGTTGGAAAGCACTTTTGTGTAAGTCTGTCACTCGATCCTTGTGTCACCAGCTCATCCGTTACTAGTTCATTTATAGATGTATGCTTGTTCTTGTGTTCAAGACTCTCTCTCTCCAATGTGGAAAGTTATTATGGGATCTATAATCAGTACCTCATATCTTATGATGCAAGCTAGGTGAACTTGATAAGATATTTTGTTGCCTATCCTGTCATGCCTTTTGCATTTTGCCACTAGAATGTTTAGGTATAAGTTTGTGAAGAAACTCATGAACTTGGTGATCAGTGATGACCATCTAGCATAGCTGCTCAAACATTTGGTGCTCAATGACTTTCACAATTGCTTCAAGAATAAGGCTGCCCACAGCTTGCCCTTGCCAGATCCCACTTTAGTGGGAGTCCCCGTGCCTTGAGTCACCAATTTTTTAATCTCCTTGATGATGTTTTGGTCTTCATTTGAACATACATCACAAGCCTATGTTTTAGGTCATTTTCCGTGCATATAAAAATAACACAAAAATAACATTTTATTGGGTACTGTATGAGATTCTATTAAGCGTGTAATTTGTGAAGAAATAACATGGTAGATTGAACTGCAAAATTGTTTGGAGTATTTTTGCATCATGCAAAACAACTGCAAGGTCATCAGTGCATAATTCAGAAGGCAGTTCAATCCATTTTAGCAAAGAGTGGTCATTATAGCTTTATGAACTTCACTAGGCTATTTTTAAGAAAAATTGTTTGGTGCTCCAGGGGCGCAATGTGGCGGTGCTCCACACCAATCACAATACACCATGTCTTTTCATGTTCTTCAATCACTCAACATAAAATTGTGAGCCTCACCTCCTCCACCAGTTACAACACTATTGCCCTTCTCCACCAGTTACAACACTATTGCCCTTCGACCAACCAATAACTTCTCCATTTTTAGACATTGCAGAAACAAACTATAATTGAGGGAGTACTAGTATTGCTTTTAGCATTTTTAAACAACGTAATGTTTCAAGTTGTTTAGTGCTTTTATCAGTTTTTAAACATTGCAGAAACAGACTAGAACTGAGGGAGTAATATTATTGGCCTTATCATTTTTAAAGCAAAGTTAATTGTTGAATTTGACAATCTAGAATTCACTCTGCAGCCATTATTGTATTTGTTTGGTACACTCAAACTGACATAGGATCTTTGTTGTCTATATGTGATGATATCTCTATTCATTTTAGATAAGAAGCTATTTAGGTTCATATGCTCAACAATTTTCACACTATGCTTAACAACATATATATATATATATATATATAAAGAAAAAAATCAGAGAACAATCAATAATAAATCATCCTTGAGAGGACTAGAAACAGCCCCATTTGGTTATGTTTTCATTTTTTCTGTTTTTATGTTTTGAAAAACACAAATAGAGCACAGCAGCTGCTTGCCATGATCATCATCTACTTGTACTTCGTTCCTTCTTTTCAGGTCTTATTACCCATAGTTTAACTTTGTTGGGCATGTGTTTGTTATGATGGGTGGATAAGCACCAAACCTAGGAATCATGATTAGATTAGTTGTTGGGAGTGGTAGAACAATCTTTTGTGTAAAAAATAAATTGAAACTAAATCAAACAAAATAAAATAAATAACTTACAGAATTTATTTTACCGAACCGAATGAATAATAAAAGATCAAGTCGAATGTGTGATACTCTATTCTTAAGACAGATTCGTCCCGCTACGGTGTTTACGGTTAAGTGGCATCTATCTCCTAAGATACAATGATCTTCACAAATTTGTAATAGCACTCCAAACAAATTTTTCCGGCGAACTAGAACCTTGTATTCTATATTCTCTTTAATTTTCCTAAAGAATAATATGAAGAATTTATGCAAACAGATAAAGTCTGGACAGCAGGAAAAAAATATTTTTCAGACTGATATTGGATCCCCCAAACTGCTGGAATTAAACTGGTATTTATAGGCAAAAAATTCTATCCGAACAGGTGCTAATTTGAAGTGAACAAATGCACATTTAAATTGGACAGGTGCAAGCATTATTCAAACAGATACTTGCTAGAATAATTGATCTGTCCGAACTGTATGAACTTGTTTGAACTGGGTAGAAAATTTGTATAACTGCAGTAGTTTAGAGCAGTTAATCAGTTAGATATTTCGGACAGAAAAAGGCAAAATATGGACAGAAAATTAAATTCAATTTTGGCACAAACTTTAAATTTAATTTCACTAAGAATTTTTGGAAAAAATTCAAATAAATTTTGTCCAAAAAGTTAATATAAGAATCGACCTGACCCACAGCCTACACCCGCGCTCGGCCGGCCGGTCGGACGGTGGCAGCGGCGTGCGTGTGTGGTGGTTTGGACTAAGGTTCATTTTGTCCATAACTCCTCTCTTCTACAAACTTGGGGTGTCCCTTGGGGTCCAACCCAAGTATTATACTCTAGAGCTTATATACATACACAAACTCTCTTAAAGTTTCAATGCGGGACAACTCATTTCAAGGAAACCCATATTTAATTTCTTTAAATGTCCAATTTCACGAACTCGAAAACGACGTCAACTTCCCATTCACTCATAAATGGTTTTGACGAACCATCTTCACCGTATGACTTACCACGCGGCAAGGAACATGTCACATCTTCGGATCCGCCCCAAAAGACACAATTTAGTTCTCACTATTGTGTTCATTTTGACCCTGAACAACCTGGTGTAACAAGCCCGTGGGGGACCTCGCTACAGCTCGGACTCGATTTGTGGTCACGGTTCTAAATCTGAACCAAAGAGTCCAAATCCGGCAAATCGTTTTTGAGAAAACAGATTTTTGAAAGAAGTGCCAAACATGGACTGCTTTGCCAGATACAGAGTCGCCACCTAAATATTTTATTTTGGGAAATTTAGGAAACCCTGACTCGGTGCCAAAAGGCCACGTGTCCGTCATCACCAAAGTTGCCTCGGCTCGGGAACTTGGGTACGATTGGGGAAGGTCACTTCGTGAGCACCCCCGCTCGCCGAAACCACATCCACATCATTCTCATTAAATACTTCCAAGCCGTCAGATTCCTCTGTTACAACAGACTCAAAAGAAAATGAAAAAGACGACCTAGACAGGACTGTGGTATCCGGGTTATCACCCCCAGGAATACCGGACTCAGACTCAGTCGAGCTGGAATCTGATTCCGACGCACAAGATTCGGTAGAATCAGATTCCCAAGGTTTGGTGGTAGGTTATCATCCTTTCCTCTTTGACCTTCCAATCTCTTTTTGCTTGAGACACAACGAGGTT